ATGCCCTTTTTTTCCTAATAGCATCACTTTCTTGCTTGAAGACATTTTGTATTTCTCTTGTACCTGATTTTCTAATAACAACTTTGGCAACTTTCTCTTTGCTTCATAGTTCTTGATCCTTCCAGATTGTTTCTGGTTTTCCTTGTCTACTTGGTAGCACTGGTATTCTTCTCATGTATTCTTTTCAGTAGGGAACTGAGAAGTGAAATTCTGAGCACTGACGGCGGTGCGTGTGAAGGTGTGGGGGGCAGGGGAGGTGGGAGGGAGCCCTCATGAGTGGCGACCTTTGCTGTGATGATCAGGCTGAATCACTTGTTAGGGAACTTTGATGTCCGGATCTTCCAGGCCTTTGCCATGGGTTGGTCAGGTGCCAGTGTTTGGGAGGTGAGGTTGAGGAGTAGAAAAGAGGAATCTTGGTATGCTCTGTCCGTTTCACTTAATCTTCCTCCCATGTATATAGAGCATCTTGCCCCCAACATCACCTGTATACCCCCTAATTCAGAGACCTCTGGTTTGCCCTCACCGCAGGGCAAACATTCAGGCTGCTGCTCAGGTGGAGGGGGTGCTGTCACCAGGTGCTTGCAGGAGGGGAAAGGAGGAGGGTGTTAACTCTTCTTGATTATAGTTCAACCCCCGCCAATCCATTCCGGCAGCAGTTCCCCCATCTGCCTGAAGCACCTGCTGCTTGGCGCCTTTTGAGGACCCTGCGTGTAAAACATGGGACTCCTCCACCTCCAGCCCCTCATTCAGTTTTCTTGGGGCCACTGAGGGAGCGGCCACCACCCACCCACTTTCTAGCTTCCAAAATGCTGTTACTGTCACTTCTCCCACTTCTGTTATTGAAAAGATATAGATGTTGCCCTGGCTGGCTGGCTGGCCCAGTTGGTTGAGTGTCTTCCTGTAATCCAAAAGGTCTGGGGTTCGGTCCCCAGTCAGGAGGGGTCAGGAGGGCTCGTATGTATAGGAGGCAACCAGTCAATGTTTCTCTCTCTCATCAACGTTTCTCTTTCTCTCTCTGAAATCAATAAATATATCCTCTGGTGAGGATTTTAAAAAAGAGAAGATATAGATGTATGTATATGCATGTGTATATGTATATATGTATGCTTATATAATTACTTTAGTTTTAATAAGATTCAGGTACAGGCCAAAACTGATGAGTTATGTTCATTCCACTGTCTTTATCTGATATTCCACCAATACGCATTTAAATAAAAGTGAACTTATCAACATATTATCACATAGAGGTCCAAGAACATGTAATCATTCATTCTAATTAGTGAGGAGTTAGAGGATTCCAAAAGGAGATTTTTTTAAATTGTTTATCAAAATACATAAATAACCTAATGCACCGCGAGCATAAATTTTCCATAAGTCTCACTTCTTAGCACCAGTTTAATAATCATTTTAGGCTTAATCAACAAATATTTACTGCTTATCTGCTTGGTCCATGGCACAGTAGTAGATTCTATAGCACTTACTCATCATAACATAGAAAATATTCATGATGCAATTTTAAGTAGGAAAAAAGGCTAGAAGTACATAATCACAAATGGCATTCATTACATTTTTGCTTCATCTGCATGTTCTAAATCTTCTGCAGTGACCATATATTATTTGTGGAATAGAACAGTCACTAACGGTGACTTCACTGACACACCTTGAGCCTTGCGTGCCTGACAGGACATGAGTCCGTCCTTTGCAGTTATTGGGGTTTGCCACTCAATCTTCTTCCATGGCTGCGTCAGTCCATTCGGGACCCTCTAACCACATACCCAGCCCCGGGTTGCTTACCAGCAGCACGTCTTTATTTCTCTCTGTTCTGGGGCTGGGAAGTCTCAGACGAGGACACAGGGAGAGTCGGTCTCGGGTGGGGGCCCGCTACCTGGTTCATAGACGTCAATCTTTTCCCCTGTGGTCTCAGTCGATGGGAGGCTCAGGAGCCCTCTGGGAACTCTTTTATAAGGGCACTAATGCCATCCATGAGGGCTCTACCCTTTATGACCCAATCACCTCCCAAAGGCCTCACTTCCTAATACCATAATATTGAAGTTTCGGTTAGAATATATGAATTTGAGGGGAATAAACACTCAGTGCATAAGGTGGCTCCGTGGCGCAATGGATAGTGCATTGGACTTCTAAACACTCAGTGCATAGCAAAGGCTAAAGGGAGGATTATGTGCTGTATGTGTTTTTCTCCTAAGTAAACAGAAATTAATACTCTTATGTATTATATAGGAAACTTTCCTGTCTTAGTTCTGGCTGCCATACCAAATCACCATAAACCAGGTGGCTTAAAGAACAAACATATATTTCTCACAGTCTGGAGACTGAAAGTCTAAGACCAGGCTTCCAACTCAGGTTCACAGTGAGGGCTGTCTTCCTGGATTTGTGCTCTCATGGTGCTGGCCTGGTGCAGGCACACGGAGAGAGCCTGAGAGCAAGCCAGATCTCAGCCTCTTACAGGAGCACTTACCCTGACCATGACCTCATCTGAACCCATTACCTCCCATGTGCCTCACCTCCACCTACCATCGCAGTGGGGGCCAGGGCTTCCACCTGAATTCCGGGAAGCACAGTCAGGTAGTATTCCCCTCACAGCCCTATCACATGCACATTTCAGAAAGAGAAAGTGACAGAGTTAACAAGTAGAGTGTAAAGTGGGTTCCCTCTTTAAAAGACTTCACCTGCATTAGATGATCTCCACCAGGAAGCCAACTGAGAACAGGAAATGCATTCCTAGCATATTAGTTATCTGTTGCTGCATAGCAAGTTGCCCGAAAACTCAGGTGGCTTAAAACCACAGTAAACATTTATCACCCGGAAGTTCCTGCGAGTCAGGAATTTGAGGGTGGCCTACTGGGGCCTTTCTGGCTTGTGGTCTCTCACAAGGTTGCAGTGCGATGTCAGCCGTGGCTTTGGTCGCTGGGGCTTGGCTGGGACTGGCAGGCACACTTCCCGAGTGGCTCAGGTTGGTTCATCCCCATGGACCTCTCCACTCCAGAGTGTCCGCACAGCATGGCCCCTGGCTCCCCCCAGAGTGAACAACTGAAGAGGCTGTTGCAGAAGCTGTAGTGCCTTTCCTTACTTAGCCTCAACTGTCACACTTCATGACCTGTGCCATATTCTATCAGTCACACAGACCAGCTCTGAGCCAGGGTACGAAGAACACTAGCTACGCAAGGATGTGATCGCAGGAGGCAAGGACCACTGAGGACCATCTGGGACGCTGGCTACCACACTTCTAAGCATTTTGCAGTAGTTTCTCATTTTTTAGTTGTTTAGCGAAGAAAGGATTTTGTTGTTGTTGTTTTAAATAAAATGAAGGTTAAAGAGGTATCATCTTCCTAAGTATGCGTAAGGCAATGACTCAGGTGATACTGAGAGAGCAAAGCAGTCATTGCCCGTGGAGAGCCCTAGAAGTGTGAATGAGCACAAAGGCTTCCAGAAGGCAGGAAAGAACTCTGGGTGCTAGAACAGGGAAGGGAAGGGGAAGGATTCCCGCCTCTGATGATTCATGACATCCAGATTTATGACAGAGTCACATAGGTACCAACTTTACAATGCCTAAATTTGTTCAGTCCCAAGAAACTAAAATAGAAAATAGAGAGAACGAGGCCACACTTTTCAATTCTGCCAGCATCTGTGTGTTTCCTCTGGGACAGGAAAAGTACAATAGGACAGTAATGCAGCGGGGGGAAACCAACAGTGAATGAGCAGCTAACTGGGCTATGTACGTAATTGTCTTTAATTTTTATAGTGACCCCAGGAGCAAGTGTTGTTATCCTCATTTCATGGGACTAAAATGGAACCTAGAGGATTTACGGTCAGGCTCACAACCAGTTAGAAAGAAAGGGCTGACTGCCCTTAACTTTAAAATAGGTCTTCCTCACATGTAAGAATATCAAACCAAAATGGGTCAGGGGTGGATATCAGTAGCCATAGGAAAGCTTGAGCTGGGTGAGAATTAGCCCTTCGCAACGTCATCCCTGCCAGGACATAATGAAAGCAAGTCTCAGACCAAATATTCCACAGATATGTTTTCAGTCCACATTTATTAGCAAGCAGGCACAAAGTAGTACATCAGTATGTTTTGTAAACTTGAAATTCCAATCCTCTATTACTCTTAACTTTCCTACCACCACGCTACAGAAGAGATGCTTAAGTCAGACCTGACAGCATTCCACACATAGGTTTCTGTTATTTTTATACACAGCATCAAGCACCAGAGATGATGTAGGTCACAGAAACAGGAATCCAGATTCATGTAACACGCCTGAGAGTGTGCGCAGTGGGTCTTATCTTCTGTTCCTGCAGGGCCACGGAAGCCGCCGCCTGCATACCTCAAATCCCATAAGTGGTGTCTCTGCTAACATTTATTTTCCTGATTAATAAGCCCCTGAGTTCACCAATGAAAACCCATTCATGCCATTCATTAATCTACACATTAGGGAATGAAGCTGCGGTTGCATTTAGTAGCCACTTCTATTTATGATCTTCCCAACTAGATACTACTTGCTCACTAGTATAAATTCCTGACTACGCCTGGAGTTTCCCACACCGAATATTTGTGTCATACCATTTCTGATGAAGTGAATTATGGGCATCACCATAAAGGAGACCAGTATGTTCTAGCCCAGAGAGCAGGTGCAGCAGAGCTAAGTCGAAGACCGACGCGGCCATCACACTGGCATCCAGTACCACAGTCTTTGTGTTCAGTTGTCATCAAATCGTTTCATGTGTTGGATTTAGCTCTTTAACTAAATGATTAAAATTCTTGGGGAGGGTGAGTCATATACCTTTTCACTTTTTTCCATAATGGCTAGCACAGTGCTAGGTACATATAGATGTACAATAAATACTTTAAAAGTTATTAAAATTTATAGCAATTTTTGACAAAATATTTGGGCCTGAGAGTTTTGTGTGTGCTTTGAATTCCTAAAATGCCTCAGTGGACTAATGACATTCAAAAACTGCCTAGGTCACTTGGAATGATTCATGGCCATTTGCAATGAGTGACGGAAATGGTTTACATTTTTTAGAGCTAGAGATTTTTTAAATGTCAGTTCACAGCCTTGCTCCTAATACGTATTAAGCTTCATCAGGGAATATGTGTAAAGTATGAACCATACTATACCAATACAAATAGTGACATTTGGCTTCATTTCAGAATTTTTTAAATTGAATGTTTCCATTTCCACCCATGTTAAATTATGTCAAGCATCAACTTTAGGAAGTAAACAGTGGGTTTGTCTTTGCTCCAGGTAGTGCTTGAATACTAATGGGCGAAAAGCACTGTGATATTGAACCCTGAGGAGCTTTGACTGAAGGAATTTCAGGTTTCCTTTCACGTCTTCAGCAAGGAAAGGTGTACTGCTCCTTCTATTTAATGTGTAATCACTGGGCCTGGTCAGCGGTTAGTGCTGAGTGTTTGGTTATGTTAAGCAATAGCCCTCGGTCACACAGCCAACCTGCAGCCGCACCCCAGCCAGGAGGGCCCAGGGCTGGGCTTTCTGTTTGGTCTTTAACCATTGCACAACTGTGTAAAGGTTCTGAGAACCTGCTAGGATTCTAGTCTTGGGATGTAAGCTTTCAGGGCACCTCTTTGGGGAAAAGAAAGAAGAACCAACACAACAGCTCCACTGTAGGTCTGATGACATCACAAGCCTGATGAGGTAAGAAAATGCTTCAGAAAAAATACAAACAAAAGTCTTTGTTCCTCCTGCAATTGCCCAGAGAGAGAAAGGAGTCCATATTGATTTGCCACAGTGTTGTTCTAGGCAGGAAATCCACTCACTAGAGTCCAGGAAAGGAAGGCCTTGTGACTGAATTAGAAAGACGATGATACTGTAAGTTTACTTTGTATTCCTTCCAAATTCACATAGAACGTACAGCAATGTGTATTCAAATTTGAAAACACTGTAGTTTAAGGAACTATTCTCATGGACAGGTCTAGCCCTAGTGTACATTATGTAAACTCTACCAGGAGAGAAAAACTCTTTGTTCCTGCTGAAGTTTGCACGGAGGCATGTGTACACACACACACACACACACACACTTTATTATTACTTTTTAAAAATATTTTTATTATTACTTTTAAAACTTTAATTTAGGTAACCTGGTTCACCGTTCATGGTTTGAGATTTTTAAAAAGATTTTATGTATTCATTTTTAGATAGAGTTGAAGAGAAGGAGTAGGAGAGGGAGAGGATCATCAATGCGTGGTTGCCTCTCTCGTGCACCCTGCACCAGGGGCCTGGCCTGCCACCCAGGCATGTGCCCCGACTGGGAATAGAACTGGTGACCCCTTGGTTCGCAGCCCGCGCTCAATCCACTGAGCCAGGGAGGTTTGCGATTTTAATTATGACAACTAGTCATATTTGCTTTATCATATTTTGTACATTTTTTCAATTTAGAGTGTTTCCTGCCCAGAAATCCAGCTTGAGTTTTTATGAGACATGTATGGCAACCAGAACTCAAATCTCAGATTTGAACGAGGCTAAATTTAACAGGGTTACCTACAGTCCTTGTATTTTTCCATGTTTCTAGGCTAAATTCTGTGATTTCCCCAGAAACATATCAAACTGTTTTCCATAATGTGCTATATAAGTATATTTATGATGATGTAGGTACTTGAATAGTGCCAATAACTCTTTTCTTTTAATATTTCTAGCTTTGAGACTCATATGTATTTCTTCCCTTGCATTTTCTTCCTAGCCATATATGTTTGTGTATTATTGATGCTTTAAATATCTTATGACATAAGGCTAGTCTGACTCCCGGTAGCTCTGTTATACATTCTGTGTTCGAAGTGCTTAGTATTTGCCAAAATTGCCCATGGCTTGACAGTTAGTTAATCCTTGGTGTTCCTGAAATTCACAATAAAGAGTAGCATTTACAAACGTATATAACATAAAAGGACAAGTGAGGTCTTAGAATCTCTGACTTCTTTAAGATTTGATCTGGTTAATAACTACCACAAGCAGACTGCTGTTCTTTTCATTTTTGGAAGAAAATACAATCTTCTCCGAGGGGGGAAATGGATCAATGCAGCCCGTTTACCTGGCCAGGGAGTAGACAGGAGGAATCTGACCTCTGCTTGATGCTGTCTGTGCACCCCTCCCCCCGTTAACCTTGAGCTGAGTTGAAAGGAGGGGAGAGTGCCGTGTGCTGTACCTGACAGCTGCTGTTAGGTGTGCGCCCACGGCGGCGGCATGCGGGACACATTCCATGGGCTGGATTCTGTAGTCCATTTAATACCACTAAGCCTGTGAGGTAGGAATGAGTACCCCTATTCCATGTACTTAAAAAAATGTAAGCCTTTTTGTATTTGTATTGTTTAACATTACTCTTTTTTAAATGTGCACTTTTAAAAAAATTAAGAGATGTTATAGAAAGGATCTTTTTTTAAATTTTATTTATTTATCTTTAGAAGGGAGGGAGAAAAATATCAATGTATGGTTGCTTCTCACGTGTGCCCTGCTGGAAACTGACCCCTGCTGGGAACTGGCCTGCAACGCAGGCATGTGCCCTGACTGGGAATTGAACTGTGATCTTTTGGTTTATAGGCCCGTGCTCAATCCACTGAGCTATACCAGCCAGCGCTAGAAAGGATCTTAAACAGGCATGGAATCCCAGAAGTAATGATAAGTATTCTAGGGCAACATATTTTTGAAGGTGTCCAAGACTCTGAAAGATTTTGTCTTTCATCCAAACAAGATGCTCCCCAAACTGTTGTCTGTGCCCATTTCACAGGTGTCAAAGGAACCTCCCTAAATTCTAGCCCATGATTCCAATATAAAAATATTTACTTTTGGAGGTTACCTTTTGGGTCAGTGCTCTAACACTTCAGTTACAATTCTTCCTTCCTTCCTTCCTTCCTTCCTTCCTTCCTTCCTTCCTTCCTTCCTTCCTTCCTTCCTTCCTTTTCTTTCTCTTCTCTTCTCTTCTCTTCTTTCCTCTTCTCCTTTCTCCTCTCTTTTCCTTTCCTGAGACAAGATAACAATAGTGATCCTTGGAAGCCAGATAGCAATATTCCATCCACTCAAGAAATCTGACTGTGACTGGACTTGTTCTCAAACGTGCTCGCCAGTCAGTCACACTTGATGCTGCTTCTCTGTTGGAGACGAGGCTGCTCACCTGACCGACCCAGATGTATACAAAAAAGGAATCTTTTACAGTAATTCTGCCGTCATCTTAATGATAGTCATTCCACATCTGCTGTATTCGAGGCATTATCCCATTATTTCAGGAGCTTTGCTGCATTATCTCTGATCTTTATGATAGCACTAGAAAAAGTATTGTCCCCATTCTACAGGCGAGGAAACTGAGGACTGCCTCCAAGTCACACACCCGTGCTGGAGTCACTTTTTTCTCTCCCTAAACGTTAATACTCCACCGGGAACTTGAGGCCAGACGTACCGCCCCTTGAGACTGATTAACTCATAGCGGGGGAAGTTGGGCTGTAGGGTCACTTAGTTGGAGGTTAGTGGCATGTGGCTGAGGGAAAATTGTCTGGGAAATGCATTTGCCCTTCAGGTTCAAAGTCCTGAAATCTTCTGATGGAGCCCGTCGGGGCCGGCTAGAGAGTTTTGGAGTTTCAGAAATTTTGTGAGGCGATATCAAGAAGCTACATTCTATTAAAGTATAAGCAAACAAATTATATTAAAAACAAAGTTAACGAATACTCCAAACTCATCATTTCCTAATTACTTTAGTCTTCTGTTGTTTCTTTCTATTTACATCTGTTTGTATTGCTAGAAATGCTATCTACTGCCGAAATGCCTCTTTCAACTTTGTGTTCAGTGACTGGAGATCGCTGAACACAAGCCTGAAATCAGCCCCGACAGGAGCATTTACACCACGGAAATTGGCAGAGGCTGTAAATCGGGTTCAATGTAATGTTTTGTTGCTTACCAACACTTTAGAATGTGATGAAGAAATCATTAATGAGAGTTAAAAATAAACGTTTGCTGTCTTTAGCCATTACGTGAGAATAACAAACAAAAAAATTCCAGAGGAAAATTTCCTCTCTCTATTCATAAACTATTATCTGCTTCAGCAAAGAGTGTGCTCATATCAGTAGCAAACAAGTGAAATTCCAGCATTTGTGCTCGTTTCACTTTCATCTAAGTACTTAATGTAAATGAAATATCAACTGATATTCACGTTGGAACTAGTTTTGTTGTTGCAACTATAGATTGACTGTGGATCTACAGTTGCAACCAACTGGATAGAAGAGTCTGGCAAAGCACCCTGTGAAAATCAATTTGTCCAAATGGAATTTACAATAAAAACAAAGTACTGTTTATTTTTATTTGTACACTGTGTATTACACATCCTTGATTATAATAATAAACATTTGGTTTCTGTAGAGCCAGCTGTTAAACATTAGCTAGTGCACCACTGCCTGTGAGGTATGACTTGTCTGCAAACTTTTCATCTGATAGAACAACAGTCAGATCCATGTCTTCCCCAAAACATCGGCCCCATTTTGGGGTATAATTGAAATAGGAACATAGGTCTTTATCTCATTGTCAAAAAAATCAAAATAACATGCTAACTTCTAATGATATTGAGTTTTCTGCATTAGTCCACCAGCAAGAAAGAATACTGTCAAGAAGCCTTTAAACTGCCCAAAAGTGGGGTACAGATAAGTTTCCCCTGAAATGTCATGCGTTTTGTTGCCACATGTACATGTCCCCTTTCGTTGCTAATGAAGATTACAGGCTTCATCCCCAGCTGTCTCTGGCTTAAGCAGTAGGATTTTTTCCCTCAAAAAAAAACATTAAGTTAATACAATTTATGTGTCAAGCTAAGAAAACATCAATGATTGAAAATTTGGGAATTTAAACCGGTCTCATATTTATTTAGTTGAGTGAATTAAAAGTGGGTTAAGATCTTATCATTTTCTGGTTTTGTTTTACTTCTACCCCGTACTGCTTTCTGGAAATACTGTGTGATCCGTGGCCAGTCACGTGCATTTCACATGCTTAGTCACTTCTTGATTGATTTCAGAGTGTTTCTATCGCACAGCACTATGTTTCTATGTTTCCGCATTACATTCCATGCTGCAGAAGGTGAGGCTATTCTGTTGATTTTAGCTTATAAATGAGCAAACTTTCTGCGACCAAATTTTTTACTTTCTCTGAGCAAATTTTAATACACAAAATTTTGAGAACTGCCCTCCTTTGCATCTTACCCAGATGGACATCTAATGCTTTTTATTGGAAAAAATAATGAATGAATGAATGACAGGAGGGAGGGAAGGGACTAGGGACCCTTTCAGTGTTTTCTGGGAAGTTGCTCATGTAGGATTAGGGCTGCTTGAGTGGAAGAGATGGCAATAATAACTGGGCAAGTTATTTTAGACCCAGGTCTGGACTTAATGGGCACAAATAATATCTGTAGAGTTCTTGGCTCCCTGAGAAAAGTGGGCAGGTTGCCAAGTAATGGTGGGAACCACTCACAAAATGCGTTTTCCTGGTGATGACTAGGCAGAATTTTTTGTCCTGGTTTTGACATTAGGTACCTGTCAGATCCTCCATTTTCTTGAGATGTCTATTTTACCTCGTTTATCATAAATGATGCTGAGAGAAAACCCTGATGAAGTATTTGGTCTCTTGGGATTTTTCTGTGCTTAGAGAGGAGCAATGTTGTTTTCTCTTTGTTTTTG